ACCAATATTTTGCTACAGGACTTGGCCATGCAGAAACCACTGAGTGTATATACGGTGCTGAGACTTTCAAAAGGTTCAGAGAGCTTTGATTCTGCCTGAATACTTATTTGGCTCTTAACCAAACTCATCTAAGCCTCTCCGGTCAAATTCTGCAATGATACAAACTGGGACCTTGGAATTTGTAAACCGGTCAGAAAACAGATGTTACATGCTTTGTCATTTAGCATCCAGTGGGTGTGAAAAATTAGCATTGAAGAGGTAGGTGGAAGGCTCTAACAAGAAAATCAACTAACAGCAAGGTGTAATGCAAAGCAGGAACACACACGCAGAGAATAATTTTAGGACTAGACTGTAATTTGAAATACAACCCTAAATTCTACCTAACTTCCCGAGTTCTCTAGCAACTTTAGATTTATCCTGATATAACTGAAGCCAGACTTTGGTCCCAAAAGAAACAGCCTCCTCTTGTCTGCTTTACCTGTGAGACACAGTCTACCACAGTGTGTAACCTGCACATGCGTTGCACCCCCACTGTTGCTCACCCATTCATAACGATCTGGAAAACTTTTGTTTCAAAGGTCCCGATTTCAGGCTTCGGTGTTTCTTTAGCAATAAAGATTGACAGCAGCTGCCCTCCTTGTACTGCCCTGGATTTTTGTGATGGGGAAGCAGATCCATAGACCAAAGCCAGGAAATAGAAGTACAAGGGGAAATGATTCCCCACTTGTTTGCTGTAACAGAAGTTTACAAACAAACGTGTAATCTGCTGTGGTTGTTACAAACGTAAACTAGTTGCTCTAAATCTGTCTGTTATTAATGGCAGCCAAGTACTCACACAAGTTACACATTTTCATATCTGTGGCAGACAAGGTGATCACAGTTTGATCAGCTAGGAATCCTCCTCCCCCATCCTCCCGCCCGCTCCTTTTGCTGTTTTCTAGTTGCCCCAAACAGGCATAAACATTCTACAAGTCTATCTGGTGAGCATTCCAAAATAGCCGCAAGAGCACTTTCGATGGAAATCCTCTTGTGGATATTTACTCGCACAAGGATATGCGGGGCTTCATCTTTCCCAGAAACGCCCCTGCCAATGCCATCGTGTTCATCTGAATCGATTGGGGAATAAGCACAGAACAGGGAGTCACAAATACCAGGAATGCAGATCAGTGGTTTCTAGGTGGAAGAATATTCACTAAGCCTGACGTTGACTTCTGTGCACATAGATGGGTCAGTGATTGTGCACTACACATGTCCCACATTAACATGACGTACAGCTGGCCCGCTGCAAAGGGGTGAATTTTACCCAGATGTTTTTTTCCCTTGTTGCTGTATTCTTGCAGCTCTACTTATGTCTCTGCTAATGGAGTTATAAATTATGTAAAGTAATAAATAACATCAGGTAGGGACACATGAAACCTATCCCAGGAATAGGTGAAGTATTTCAGTTTGGCTTCATTGCATAGCCAGAACTCCACATACCTCCCACTGTCTCTGCGGCCACTTGCGAATGCGATACAGCCCTCACTTTAACGTGATGAAAGGGGACAGAAGGGGACAAGAATCAACAAGATTTCAAATACTTGCAGGATTTCTCAAGACATGCATGAGGCATTTCTTCATCCACCCATTAGATTTATGATCAGAAACATCTGGGAAGTCTACGGGGCCTTGTACAAGCACAAGATACCAATCCCTGCCTAGCAGCTTGCAGGAAGTGGACCAACCGTGTTATATTGCTCCGTTGCCATCCTCCAATGCCCCAGACAGCTCTCAAATTCCGCAGCAAGTGGCAGTTTCAGGTAACTTTGTTTATATTCCCATCACCCGCACAATACAGTCTTGTGCAATATGTCTGTAATATTTTCTTGCTCTTTAGCCCTTTTCCACATGGCCAGAGAGAAACGGAAGAATCCCAAGCATTGTTACAGGCTGGGGACCGACTGGCTAAGCAGCAGTTCAGCAGAAATGGACCTGGGGTTACAGTGGATGAGAAGCTGGATACGCAGCCAAGAAGGCCAATGGCATATTAAGGTGCATTAAGAGGAGCATTGCCAGCAGATCCAGAGAAGTGATTATCCCCCTTTATTCGGCTCTGGTGAGGACTCATCTGGAGTATTGTGTCCAGTTCTGGGTCACTATAAAAAGGGTGTGGATGCATTGGAGAGGGTTCAGCGGCAGGCAACCAAAATGATGAGGGGGCTGCAGCACATGACCTACGAGGAGAGGCTGAGGGATTTGGCCTTATTCAGTCTGCAGAAGTGAAGAGTGAGGGGGGATTTGATAGCAGCCTTCAACTCCCTGAAGGGAGGGTCCAAAGAGGAAGGAGAGAGGCTGTTCTCAGTGGTGGCAGAACAACGAGCAATGGTCTCAAGTTGCAGTGGGGGAGGTCTAGGTTGGAGATTAGGAAAACTCTTTCTCTAGGAGGATGAGGAAGCACTGGGATGGGCTCCTTAGGGAGGGGGTGGAATCTCCATCCCTAGGCTATGTCTACACTCGAGGCTTCTTGTACAAGAACATCTTCCGCAAGAGAGCGTCCACACTGCCACTGGTGCTCTTGTGCAAGAACACAGCCACACTGCCATGTGCCAGCTATGCCTTGGCACAAGAGCGCCCATGGCAGTGTGGCGCAAGAAAGTGCCGATGGCCAGTTTAGCCATAGGGCTCTCTTGCGCAAGAAACCCCTGCCAGCGTCCACACTGCCCTCTTGTGCAACAGCTCCTGCGCAAGAGAGCTTATGCCTGTTAGAAAACAGCGTAGCTCTTGCGCAAGAAGCCCTCCCTTACCGCGCCGGACTGTACATTTCCTTGCACAAAAGCCGGTGGGCAGTGTGGACGCTCTGCAGATTCTTGCACAAGACCTGCCGTTCTTGTGCAAGAAGCCCCGAGTGTAGACATAGCCCTAGAGGTGTTTAAGTCCTGGCTTGACAAAGCCCTGGCTGGGTTGATTGAGTTGGGATTGGTCCTGCCTTGGGCAGGGGGCTGGACTAGATGCCTCTGACTGGGATTCTAAGATTCTATGAAGCAGAGGTCTCCCTTCCTTGAGATATCAGTGCACCCCGAGCTCTCTTAGCCTTGGTCCACTCTCCCGCATGCCCTTGTTGATTTTTCTTTTATACCCCTTCGCGGATGCTAATAGGCTCATCAGGATTGGCTAGTTAGCTGCATATCCCCAATCAGCCTGCTCTAGGGGAACCAATTGGGGCCACAGGAACTGACGGGGGCCTACCAGATAAGGGCCCTGGCTGCCGCGTTAGGGAATGTGACAGTGCTGGAAGTGAAACACGATTCTAAGGAAATAGGGATTTCTTTCTGGAGACACGCCAAGGCTAGTTCAATGTTCCCGCTCATCTTTTCCATCCACGTGCGGAATAAATTTGTGTCCCCCCCCCAAGGCATGTGTGCATGTGCACCACCAGTGGAAAAGAAAACCTAGCTGCCGGTGCTCTGCTAATCAGCTGGGTGGCAATGGAATCCCGCGAGTGCAGGGTCTGGGAGGGGGTTGTAACCTGGGGCAGGAGTGAGTGCAAGGTCTCAAAGGGGGCTGTGATCTGAGGAGGGGTATAGGAGGGGACGCAGTGACTGGGAAGATGTATGGGTGCTGGAGCAGGGGGTGCAGGTTTGGATTACATGGGGTAAGGATGCAGGAGAGGGACAGAGTGGAGGGAGAGGGAGAGGCTATGGTTCCAGAGGCAGGCTTTGGCTGGGAGACCTTACCTGGGCAGCTCCCAGCCAACAGCCCAGCAGGTTCCTTAACCAGGATCCCTGCCTTCCATGCCCCCATACTGCTCACAGCAGCTACAGGGGCCATGTGAACCCGGGGGATGAAGGGGGAGGGGCACTTCATATGCTGCCTACCCTGCCAACAGTGAGCTGCTATTGGCCGGAAACTGGCCAATGAGAACTACTGGGGGCGGGAGCAATGAGAGAAGCCTCTGCCCCCTTCCCTGGACTCTCAGCATTCACAGAAGCACGTGGTCCTGCAGCAGCCGGCTTCCCTGAGAGCCAAACGGGGGCGGGGCAGGCAGGGAGCCAGCTGAGGCTCTCGTGGGCCGGATCCTGCGGCTTCGCAGCCCGAATCCACCCTGCAGATCATATTTTGCCAAGCCCTGCTGTAGCCAGAGCAAACGCATTCTCTCTCCGTAAGTGGTCTAAGTGCCACCCCATGGGACCGTGCGCCCACACCCAGTAGGTGTGCGGGTTACTCGAGGGTGCAACAGGCCTTCCTGCCCCCAGCTGACGACAGTGGCGCCCCACATACTCTGCTCAGAGAAAACCCACTCAGACCAGCTTGCCAACAAGCCAGTCCTAGCAAGGCCTAGAAGAGCTTAGAGGAAACTCTGACCAATCCAGAGGACCAGAGCCAGTGAAGCAGCCCTGTCTCCATCTCGGCGTTAGCACCGAACCCCAAGGCTGGCATTTGAGATTTTGTTCTTTCTGCAACGCCTCAGGCAGACAAATTGCAAGGGGTTAGTCTCTCAACAGCCGGGTGACAAAATGAAGAACAGGCCACTCTGCTCCAACAGACGAACGTGGAGAAGGCCTGCAGAGCCACATTTGGACCCGGGGTGTGGGGGGAGGGGAGGGAAAGGAGCATGACAGAGCAGCCCCCCACCCCTACCACAGTGACAAATCTGAACAGGATGTTTAACAGTAACAGGGTTCCTGCCTAATGACCACGCAGAGGGTGACGCATTAGTGCACCAATACAATTTGCCGAACAACTGCGATCCTGCAGTTGTCAGCTAGGAAGACATATACCCTGGCTGCTTCACTGCAAAGAGAGAATTCGGATAAAACCCAACAGGCACCATGCACCTCTCGCACAAACCACACACACAACGGCCACCGAAGTCAACAGGAATCCTTCCCTTGATTGGCTGGGCACAGGTTCAGGCTCTAGGCCAGGAGGAACGTCACTGGACTGGATGCAAATACACTGGGGTCAGTGAAAGCAGTATCAGGTCCGGCCTTTTCATGCAAATAAAATGCAAGAAATGATACCTGGTTCAGGATTCCTGGACAGGACTTCAGTCAGGGTGGAATTGGTGCAGGGAATCAATCGGCCACCTAAGATAGGGAAACAAAAAAAGAGAGAGAGGCAAATAATTTAACATAAAATGTGGCTAGCCCTGCTCCTCCAAACATCGCATGGCTTGTGATCACTCTCACCCCCTTTTCAATACACACGTGGAGGTTGTTTTGTTTTTTTTAATCAGGGAAGCTGTTTCATAATGCAAAAAACAAAAACAAAACACACCCCTATTTTTTACAATGATAGAGAAGCAGCCGTGTTAGTCTGGTCTAGCTGAAACAAAAAACAGGACTATGTAGCACTTTAAAGACTAACATGATGGTTTATTAGGTGATGAGCTTCTGTGGGCCAGACCCACTTCCTCAGGTCAATTTGTGGAAAAAAATTGGCACGACCATATATACCGAAGTGATACAATAAAAAAAAAAAAAAGCAAACACATATAAAATTGACAAATTCGATTTTAGAACGGGGAAGGGGAAGGTGAGTGTCTGTGAGGTAATGATATGATACAACAATCTGAAATACAGTAGACTTCCGATAATCCAGAACCTATGGGACTTAGGTGGTGATGGATTATCAAATATGCCGGACTATCAGGAGGTACTATAAAATGGTTATATATATATACACACTGTATATATTATATACTGTATAAAAAGTGTTCTTAACCCTTCTATTGTACATACTGTATACAGTGTACTGTAATGTTTTAGTTTTTTAAAGCCTTTTTTACCCTTTTTGCTCAGTTCAGCTGCTGCCGCTGTTACCTTGTAACTCATTTTTTGCCGAAGCTCAGTCACTAGGCTCTTGCCATTTTGATGCCGGACTATCAGGAGTGCTGGACTATTGGATGCCGGATTATTGGAATTTTACTGTACTCAGTTCCCAGAAAGGTACATTTTAAAACAAAAATGCCACCTATTTTGTATAAAATCCAAAGCTTTGCTTAAATAGCAAACTTTTTGAATATTAATAAAAGGTGATTCATGAATATAAGTATTTACATCTGAAGTTACAACTATCCATCTAATAGATCATCAAGCACCTTTACCCCATTTTTCTGCATGCCTCTGCTCTTCCTAAGTTCTTCCAAGACTAGAAGTGAAAGAACCAGAAGAAAGACTCTTTCCATATTATTTTTAATCTGACCAACACCAGAGAATATCAGGAATATTGTAAGAGGAGTTTAAATAAACCATCCAGAACGTCAGGAGCTTAAGGCCCATTTACGGTAAGGCCCATCTACATATTCTGGAAATGTAAGTGGGTGTCCATGTAGGATAGGAAGCAATGGGCTTAATTGCAACAAGGAAGGTTTGGGTTGGGCATCAAGAAAAACTTCCTACCTGTCAGGTGGTTAAACACTGGAATAAATTGTCCAGGGAGGTTGTGGAATCTAAGAGCAGGTTGGATAGACATCTATCAGGGATGATCTAGATCAGTGGTTCACAAACTTTTCGGCATCACACCCCCTTTTAGATTTTTGAGAAACCCTCATGCCCCCCAATAGCAGCAAAACTTGTTATGCAAAACAAAAAAGGGGGGGGGGGGGAGACTGACCGGGGCCAAAAAACAAAACTAGCAGCATAACTTGAGGGGTGAGGGGTTGGGTTGCCTCACGCCCCCTCTGGAATTTCTTCACGGCCCCCCCCCAGGGGGGCACACACCCCAATTTGGGAACCTATGATCTAGATGATGCTTGGTCGTGCCATGAGGGCAGGGGACTGGACTTGATGACCTCTCGAGGTCCCTTCTGGTTCTAGTGTTCTATGAGTCTATGATTCTCCTGTGTTGCCAGAGTACAAACGGGCTGTAGTGTTCCTGAGAAGGAAGGTCTGGATTCTTAACCCAAATGATTGTCTCACATTTTACATAACTTCCCATTGCTAACGTCATGTCTCTGTAGCTAGTTTCCCCCTGCTGGTCCATAACGCCCAAGGAAAGGCCCTGCCCTCCGTCATGGTGGCTGCCAAAAAATCTATCAGTGTTTAGCAAGCCCAATGTGGCCAGCTCACGGTTTGATCACAAGTTTGACAATATTAGTTCAAGGTGTTTCATACATCCCCAGTGTGCTCTGGAGGCAAGCAATTAGAAGAAAATCTCAGCTTCCTGAAAATAAAAAAGTTTCCAAACTTCATGGTTACAGAGAAAAGCCTGAAAACATGACCCAAG